TCTACCTATCATAGGCAAGAGTATGGGGGAGGAGATGGGTGTTTGATGTGTTACATGTTGGTTAGTACTTCAGCCTAGATATGAAGGTATGCAATTCCATAGTCCAAAGCCAGCTGAGATTTCTCTGAATAAATTACACATTATTGACTTATTGAAACACTCTCATCAAAAAGCTAGGTGCAAGAAACTGATATTACTCACTACAATTCCTCAAGCTTGCCTATATTTTGGAGAGAAATAACAGTATCTCATTGCAGGTCATTCACACCCTTTGAAAGAAATGGTTGCAAGCCTACTTTCCTAAATCAAATTACAACTATTTTTTTAAAAATCAACTTATCTTAGTATTGCTCTGTTTAAGACACAGAGGGAATAATAGATTTACCTTCTACTACTGAAGTCTCTTCTTTCTTTTTGTCTAGCACTAGTTGTTCCATTTCTTTTCTTAGGTCTTCCTGATTCAGATTACAGGCATCAAAAGCATCACTCACAAATTCTGATACACCTGGACTTGTGGAAATCTCTTCCTCATCCTGCAGGAATACAGTTTAGTATGAACTTAACTAGACAGGGGAAAAAACGTCACCAATACAAACTTCCACTCATGTGACTGCTTTTAAATAGTCAGCAAAAAACCAAGCCAAATGCATTACTCTGACAACTACGTTTCTTACTGGGATACTTTTCTTTAAGAGTACTTTTGAACAGACAAAAATGTAGATAGCTGTACTGAAAATGATCTTTTCATCCTAGACTGCCTTTTTGCGTTCCTTTAACAACTTTTATTCCGTTTTTGTAACCTTCAGAAACAACAATAAACTCTTAAGTAGTTTAGAACAGTAGTTAAGATTAATATTCAACATTTGACCACAATTTTGTAAGAGTTTTCTGCACACGAATAAGATTAAGAGAGGACTGTTCTGCGGATATCTCTGTAGCTTAATTTAGTCCACTGCATATTATTGGCAAGAGAATGCACAGCTCTACTTCTGCCAAGAGAGTTCTCTGGCACTGATTTTATAATCCAGAAATGAACAAGGGTCGTTGTGTGTCTAAGGTAAAGTTTTGTCAAGCCAAACTGCAATAAAATAATGTTGATATTGCAATGCACTGCTTAGAAATCCTATACTTAAGCCTGACACTGCTGAAGAGTTGGACAAAATGTGGCACACAAACGCATTCTTATGAAGTACTCCTTGTGTCCAAATACAATGCTAACCTTCTACTCCAATCATTTTGAAAATGTCACTCTGGAGAGTAAAAACACATTGTATTGTATGTCTAGGATACTAATGAAAGCATTCTGCAGATAAACTACTGTTTCCGCTACTGAAAATGAGTTTTAAAGACTATATGCTACAAATTAATATCACAGCAAAGCAGCAGCAGGTTAGGGCTGTCAGATCCTGTATTATTATGGTTTCATAGCAGAACTTGCTCAAAAGGATGCATAATTACCTAGTAAGGAACAGCTTCCCATACTAAACACCAGATAAAATATAAGAGCATTTTTACCTCTTGAGATTTTATTTGAGGCTTTATTGTAACAGGAGGTGTTTTTGGCCGTACTGTTTCTATCAAGGGGAGAAAAAAAAAAGGTAGATTACATTTAAATGTATAAAAATCTCATTTAAACTGCATAGCTATTAAATATACAAAAAAATATTGTATTTTATGTTTTAAGGAATCCTGGTGGTTAATGATTGAATTCAGCCATAGGTAAAGCATTTGCAACAGCAAAATGGTAGAGAAGCAATTTTCTACTTTTAATTAAGGCAAATTTAGCAAATCATTTCCTCATTATGACTCCAAAGTTAAAGGACAGGAACCCCTCTGATCCTCAAAATGATCCAGAAAGCTATGTAAATAGGAACAGTTGGGAATCTGAAAGTATGTCTTCTATAAAACACAGATTGCACCACGTGTCACAAGGTCTTTAAAGTTACTAGTGCATAGACTTGGTCACAAAACCCACTTACTGCCTGCCACAGAAGTTCCCAAACTGCCCTGGCTGGGTACTGCTTCTGACACCAGTGCTCGTTAGCTCTTGGGTTTACCAGACTGTGCACGTGTACTCTGCACACCCCTAATGCATGAGGGGAGTGTTCCACAGCCTTTCCTTCTTTCACACAGGCAAAGGAAGTCACTGCAAACAAACCCTGGGAGCTGGTCCCAACTTCCTAGGAAAACTCACTGTGCATTCTGTATTTAGCAGCATGGTGCTAGGAAGACAACAATTGCTTACATACACAAGGACAGATATTTTTCCTGGCAGGTAAAGGAACACCCCAGTTTCCTTCCTTGCGCAACTATCAGGGTAGAGGAGTTAGAATAAAGAGCTGCAAGAACAATTCACATACAGGGCAGGTTGTGGAAGCGATGGAGTGCTTGCTTAGCAGTTCTGTTTGTTTAAATATGCAAAGCAGCTCTGAGCTTGCAGCTCTGCTTCCTGCAGTGTGCCCAGGTGGACCCTTCCTGCTAACTCCGCAATTTCAGAATGGGGAATTTTTTCATGTTTAATTTTTAAAATGAAGATCACTTTTAATTAAAATAATTCCGTAACTGGTAGTTGTCACTGCTTTTACAGCTCATTTACTCATTGCCCACTGCTCTGTCCTATCCTCTCTCTTCCTTCCACTTCCCAATCTTCAGAGGATCAGTCACTGGACCCAACACCACATCCAAAGAGACTCCAGCATTCCCAGCTCGAGGAGGCTGTAGAACACGGCACTAACTCTTCACTGTTCAGCACCCAGAGCTTGGCACAGGAGAGGTGCCTCAGGCTCCACCTGCTGCTCCCACGCAGACAGGACACAGCAGCTCTGCACTGGGCCATGCCCCACTAGTGTCTGACTAACACACCGTTCTGGATCTGGGCCTGGCACCACCTCCTGCACTGCTGGTGTGCTCTCTGCCCCAAGGTAATTACATTCCCAAGTACAGAGTTACTAATACCTGGAGAAGGCCTAGAACTTGGATGTTTTGTTATACATCTTACAAAGCCTTTAGATTAGAATGTAGAATGTCTTTCATTTGTCTCTTCTTTTTTCCTTTCACATCAACCATGCTAATTTAACTTTCTGAAAAGAGCAGCTAAGGAGGAGACAGAGAAAAACGGCAGGCTAATAATTCTATTTTATAGCCATCTTTAAGTAGAAACCTTGAACACAACCAGAATTACCAACAGGCAATGACTCCCAGTTTTAGCCTCCAGTTAGGGGATCCAACCTTCAAAAAAGGTTACTTAAACCAAAAATAACACAGATGATTCAGAGCTTCCCAAACCTATGCAATTTCTGAAAAAAACAAAACATGTATTTACTACAGTCTGGTACATGTATCTTTGCCATTAATAACACAGATGATTCAGAGCTTCCCGAATCTATGCAATTTCTGAAAAAACCAAAACATGTATTTACTACAGTCTGGTACATGTATCTTTGCCATTACAGAACATACAGTCATTAGGACAGTAAATCTATCTGCATATCCTACACTGCTGGTCTGAACTGTGTGAGAAACACAACAGGCCAAAAGACATTGTTTTTGGTTTTCTCAACCAAAGATATGTTTTGGTTTAGTCACAATGGAAATTTTACTATAATCCAGCAGCCATGACTGGCAATTTCCAAAGGTCTGGATGACTCAAACATAACATTTCTGTTGTTCATTAGGGTCAGATGCCATCTCTCCTGTAGAGTTGAGACACCATAAAAACAGCCATAGTTTTGGGACAGGAGACAACTGTCCTGAATAAAAGAAGTGAGAATTGATGCCTGTTGGTCTGCAGTAGATTCTGGAGTAGCCTGTCTTGCCAGCATTGCCTGGATTTTAATTTGGAGAAATCTACTTTGTTCACTCTAGATGGGCACCTTGCCTAGGCTGACACAGGTACACTCTGAACAGAACCTATGAGAAACAAAATGAGACAAACTGACAACAAAGCCATGTAACACACAAAAGCTTGAGGAAGCTACTACAGTCGTTTTTTGGAAAGGTATCTTCTAAGCAACATGCAAGCCGAGCTCTGTAATTCCCTTTGGAACCTCCCATTCACCCCAAGGTTCACCTGCCTATATCCAAGGAGCCAAGGCCCAGCTGAGTAACCTTAGGACAGACTGTGCAGAAAATTACTAAGCTGTGCAAAGACCTGTGAGAAAGTCTGTAAGAAATAGCAAAGGTGACATTAGAAACTGATAGGATTAGAAAAATGGCACCATTGGCAGTGCAAGGACTCAAGAGGAAAAATACCAATATGGAAAGATATTATATTCAAAAGAGGAGAAAAGCAGCTAATTTGACCCTGATCATCTGGCTGTCAGTCAGCAGTGTCACAGGACATGAGCATTAATTGATTTCATGGATGAAGACAATTTATTGATATTAGTGATATGAGAATCTGTCCCAAGGTGCAGCAAAGGCTTTCTCCTTCTGCCCAATGCCTACCCAGCCTGCCAAGATTCTTCAGGTGTCTTACCAGGGGTGGTGAGTGTACCTAGCTGAAGCTAAGACTTAATGAGCTACTGGTTATATTTTGCATCTTTGACAGTAACTGCTTTATACTCTTTATGCTGCAAATATTCCAGATTGCAGAATTTGTTTGCATGCAGATAAAGAGGCCCAGTGGCTGATAAGAGTGTCAGGAAGAACCACCTGTATAAACTGATCAATGTGACTGAAGATCCCTATGCTGAAGGAGCTTTTTCATCTCAAGGCTTTTTCATCTCAAAGCTTTTTCACCCCAGGTAGCTTCCTAGTCCCCATTTTTCTCCATATCTATAATACATTGTGGGCCCTTCCACACCCTACATGTGTCTCTGCTTCCATGACCACAATAATTCTATCCCCATATCACTCACTAACTTCTGTTTGGCTTGAGAGCTAAGCAAAACCCAAGAGCAAACCATACACCAACTGGTTGGGTTGGCCAGTACCTGTTGTACAATGAAGTGAACCAAAGTATCTCCCACTTACTTCTGACCAGTCAAAAAAGCACACCCAAGACCACTAGTGGTCAGGAACTGTTATAAGCCAAGTGCAACATTTCTCCTCTTGAGAATTCCACTCTTCTGACAAAGCTGGCTGAAGCTGGAAAACATATTAAAAGCACTAGGAGCTTCCTTTTCCCCAATCTCCACACACACACACATATATACTAGGTACGGTGAGAAAAGCCCCATATTTAGTAGAAAATCCAGGGTAGAGGTTCGATGGCACTTGATGTATACAGTGAGCATGCATGACACTAAGTTAATGAGATGTGCTAAAACAAATCCTTCCCATACCTTTCAGCTGATTATCCTCTTCTCTGCCTTTGTTCTCTTCTTTTCCTGCTGCCTGCTGTTGAGCTGCAAGCGCAGTGAGTTGTGCAGACTGTTTAATTAGGGACACCCTGTAGAAATAATTTCTCCAGAACACCTCCTCCTTTACGCTAGAGAGAACAAACAGATTTTGATTACTACATTTGGAAATATGGTTCAACAAATAGAATGAGGAGCTGGGAAGGTTTATCAAAGGAGGAGGTGTTTTCATTCCTGTTCTCATCCTTAGACAAGGAGACTAATGTGAACTACTTAAAAAGAATGCTGACTTGTGAAACAAGTTTTAGGAGCTGAGCCTGGGACTGGACAAGGAAGAACAGCTCCGGAACAAACCTAGGATCAAGAAGGCATATTGGAACAGGTCATAACTGCTTGGACAAAGACCTTACGGATATTTTAGTCAGGTTCACTAGAAGTAAGGCAGTTGCAATACAGAGCTTTTCCCACTGCCTATTCAAATACAGCTTTTCTCGCTTGCACTGTTGCTGTTTTGTGATGCATTCTTTTACCATTTGTCCAGGGGGTGTTTCTGACTATATGTAATCACTTATTTGGCGTGTCAGTTACATCAACAGATCTGAACATTTCTGTTCTTGCATTTGCCTTTGTTTGGGAAAAAAAATTCATTTAATTTAGCACACTGGACATGGAAAAATTGAAGGCCTCTCCCATTCTTAAGTCAAAAGGTCCTTATTAGTCCTGAATGTCTAACAGATGTACTTTTGTTCTGCAACCACTAAACTGCAATGCACATGCAATATGCCATGTGTTTGACATTAGCAGATAAAAAATACATACACCAGAAGAACATGAAGAATTGAAGGAAGTGACAAGAACAAGGAGTAATTCACGAGTATTTACAGACATATTAAAAGTACAATGATACAGAGTTACCAGCAGAAACTACTTACTGTTTGGGAACCAGATCGAACCTCATTCTATTGAGAAGTTCATCTTCTTGTAACATCACCAGTGCAACAGGGTACATTTGATCAAAGTCAAAATTAAACTGCACACCTGCTGGAGGATCCCGCAGAAAGTTCCGTTTATCCTTTGAAGAACATATTTATGTCATTATATGTGAAATTTTCTGGTATCAGTTAATTTCCATCATATTTCACACATAAGATCAGCAAAGCAATCCATAAAGTCTTTACAAAAATGATATTGAGGATCTACTTTGGCTCAAGTTGATACTGACAGACTATTTACCGTGCACATGATCAGTGTAGTGACAAACATATTAAAAGTCTATTGAAAATACATAATTTAACCATGCCAGCCAAACTTACTTGAAAAAAAGAAAAAAGAAAAGGAAACTTTCATCTCTCAAATACAGAATGTCAAATCTTACAGGACATTAAATACTTACTGCTGATAAGGCCAGTATTTGTTGTTGAATTGTCTCTTCTTCATTGCTGTCTACCCAGGGAGGCACTGCTGCTTCTGTTATTGAAAGGAGGACAATAATTGCATGTGTATTACTTTTAAAAAAACCCAACAAAACATACCTTACATAAAATAACACAATGTCACAAAAATAAGCAGATTTACCTCAGTAGGCCAATTTGTTGTTCCTTTTTCCTAAACTAAGCTTGTGGTATAAGAGAGAAACTCTAGGAATGATCTTTGCTTGTCAGAAGTAAAACACAATAATTGAGTATTTGCTGATTTCTGTTACTGTGAAACTACAACTGTGGTGATTTCTCTGCAGTGTGCACCAATCAGAACTTGGTGCCTCTTGGTTTAGTTATGGAAGTCGTACTGTATAACTGGTTAAGCAGCCTGCAAATAGACATTTCTCTATTCACTTAAAATGTGCAACCTTTGTCTAAATTCAATTTAAAAAATAATTTTCTATTGTATTTAACAATGGAGAGAAGTATTGTAAGTTACATGTAAGTTACACTAAATAAGCCCACTCAACTGATTTATGTATTTGCATAGATGCTTCCAAAATAGTTCTATAGACTGTACATAGAGGAAAATAAACTACTGTAGATGTATAGATATCTATTAATCTCTCCACTGTCAATGCAAATACAGCCTACAGAGACAACATGATGCATCTGTAACAGTTAACAAGTAATTCCTGTGCCCTTAAACTAAGAATGCTTATTTGCCTGTGCACCTGATACCAGCAACATCTTTCACCCACAAGGATTCACATCTGATGCTAATGCTTCTTTCAGTCAGGCCATCTGTTACTCCTCCTTTGGCCAATCTAGCTACCTATTTTCATGAAGCTTGGAGAAATATATTAAGAGAGGCTAAAGTTTACTAACAGAGACAAAAAGGCAGAAACACAGACAGCATGATTGCAGAAGCAATCTTGCAAGAAGAAACCAGACTAACACACTAACTACAGACACCATGAACAATTTTATCATGATCCATTTAAAACCAGCTCATTTTCAAAATTAACAATAGAGTCACTAATTATTCAAACTGTCAGAAATTACTGCATTCAAGTAACACATTAGAAGAGATAAAACAACGATGAAACACAACGTGAAAAAACAACTGTGCTTATTTTGAAGTCTCAGATAGATCCACTGATGTCAATAGTACATGGGTGGATAACTCAAAGGATTTAGATCACACATAATTATAAAGGAAATTATTTACGGGAAAGCAAAAGAGCAATTATGCCTTTTAATGTAAGCAGAGTAACTCCTACAGCAAAATTAATTAAATACTATAGGGCAAACCCTAACCCATGTTTTTCATTTTATTATGAAAATGTGATATGATTGCAAAAGCTCAGAAGAAATCAGCATGCCTGTTTTCAGTAAATACAAAGGCCTAAGATTCAAAACAGCAGCAAGAGATCAGTTTCGCCAGCCCAGTGATCCTTGAGTTAATTTCATAAAGCTGAATTTGGTTAAAAGAGCAAATCTAAACCAACTAGATAACACAACAGTAACCTCACTTGAAAAGAACCTTCCTTGTCTGCAGTATGCATTAAGTTCTGCCATAATGTGTTTCACTAAACAGTGTTTAGATTAGTTTTAGAACTAGCACAATTATCCAGCTTCCAGCAAGTTGTCACTTATGCAATGTTAAAAATAATGAAAAACACATATATTACCTGATTTTTTGTTTTGCTGCTGTTGGACAAATTTTTTCTGTTCCTTCTGAAAATCTCCAATAATCGTCTAAAATAAAAATTAGGGAGGCACAATATAAAAGATTTCACTCCTCTTGTTTCATGTTCACTCAGAAAGTGCTTTCAAATACAGTGCAAAATTATATTCTTGTATCCCTGGTGGCCCTTATTGTAACTTAATTAGAGGTGTTCCATGTCAATCATACATCTCCCTTTACTGAAACATTTTGCATTTAAAGCTATTGTGTATGATTTAAAAATTATAATTTTATCAAGTTCAGCACACAAAGAAGATGGAAAATCCTAGCTGATAATTTGAACATCAACATACTATGTATATCCACTTACTGTCTTACCATATCAAATACAGACAACACAGACTGTTTAGACTTATTTTTAAACATTTTTAAAGCATTAAACACTTAAAGATACCCTTGGCCTTAGAGTAAGTTTCAAGAGTTGCCTAAGAAATATATCCACTGCAGTATATCGGACTTGTAAAATTGTACAGTAGGATTTCAGAATGTCTGCTTAGCTGAAATAAAGTTACTTCTCCATTTATGTTGTTGATGAATTTTCATTTTAAAATTCCATTCAGAAATATCCTATATTGAATTTAGAACTTAAAAAATGGAGAATGGTCTCAGAAGTTGGCATGCCATAATCTAGAAGCAATGATGCAAATGTTGTTCTGTAGTTGAAAGCAGTGGCAAAACCCCACAAAGCTAGAAATGAATACTTAAACCACTCATAAAATACAAATTTTATGCAGTGAGGTCTGTGGCTTAACAAGTTGCCAAAAAGCACTTAAGTCTTCAAGCTAAATCCTGATAAATTCCTCTAAATTTTTTTTCCTTCAACAACCCAGCATTTCAGTTTAAGATTAACATCAGGGAGAGAACTACAGTAGTGCCAGTTGTAAATTATGTGATTTTTTTGTGTTTGTGGAATAAAATAATTTATAAGGTATAAGAGAAAGGCCTTATGATGATACAGCCATAATCCTGTTTCTCCTCTATGTAAAACTTATTATTCAAACAGATCTTTCAGATACAATACCTAGAAACAAATTACCTTATCAATGATACTGTCAATTTTTCCTTCTTCTACAGACTTCTTTATCGTCTGTGCTGTTTCAGCAACGGATTCAGATATCTTTTTTGTTGCAGCAGTGGCAAAATTGAAGAGGTAACCTTTCACAAACAAAAAAAAAGAAACATGCTGTAAATCAAACTTTTATACGTGAACCTTATTTACTGAATCAAATATTCCTAATGGTCCATGAAATACTGCTTTCCGATGGGTTTTATGAAGCAAAGTGTCTTTCCTGATTTCATATAACTTAGCCACAGTATTAAAACAGAATTATATATATATTTTTAAGAAGATCAACATGCATAATAAACTCTCATGAAGTGAGGCAGCAAATGCATGAAAAATTTCAGGCAAGTAACACTTGAGATTCCTTCAAAAGTCTTCAAGATAGAAGCTTGCTCTTGATGTTTGCCCTTATCTATTTTGCATTCTCTTTAGCTCCAAGAAAAGCACTGTGGCCCTTTTCGCTGAGTTCTCTGCAGTGGCAGAACAGCAGTGACAAATATTCCCAAAGACTCTGATTTTTTTTATATTAGCAGCGTTAAAGTGAAAAGAGGTGACAAGAAAGAACTGTGTAGCATGGGCAGCTGTACTGTATTATTTGTTTTAAATTAAGGAGAACAAATTGCAAGCAGCAAGATGTACATCATAAACCTTCAGAAACATTAAATATCAGCTTATTGACAAGGAATTTTAAACATTGGTACTGTTCTCAGATGACATGATGTCACAAGAACTTTATTACATTTGAACAGTTGCTTTATGACTCTAGTATCAAAGTTACAGTACATACAGTGATATGTCAATAAGTGCCATAGTAAATATAATTGCAGAGGGATCTAGATAGATTTGAACACTGGGAAAACATCAATGGCATGAAATTTAACAAGAATAAATGCTGCATTCTGCACTTGGTATAACTATTAATTGGAGAGGAGTGGCTGGAGAGCAGCCCTGCGGAAAGGGATCTGGGTGTGCTGGTTGGGGGTAAGCTCAACAGGAGTCAGCAGGGTTCCCTGGCAGACAAGAGGGCAAACCACATCCTGGGGGACATCAGGCACAGCAACACCAGCTGGACAGAAAAAGGAATCATCCTGCTGTATTTGGCACCAGTGCAGCCTTACCTCAAGTGCTGTATGCAGTTCTGGGCCCCACAATTTAAGAAGGATGTGAAGGAACTCGAATGGGTTCAGAGGAAGGCAACAGAGCTGGTGGAAGGGCTGGAAGGAATGTCCTGTGAGGAGTGGCTGATGACCTTTGGGCTTCTCCAGTTTGGAGAGGAGGCTGAGGGGTGACAGGCAACCTTGTTGCTCTCTACAGCTCCCCAAGAAGGGCAAACAGAGAGGGAGCTGTTGACCTCTTCCCCCTAGTATCCAGTGACAGGATGCATGGGAATGGTACAAAGCTAAGCCAGGGGAGGTTTAGACTGGGCATTAGGAGGCATTTCTTTACCAAAAGGGTGGCCAAACCCTGGAACAGGCTTCCTAGAGAGGTGGTGGATTCCTCAAGTCCGTCAGTGGTTAAAGAGGGTTTTGGACAATGCTTTAACTTTTGGTCTGCCCCAAAGAGATCAGGCAGTTGGACTATATGATTGTTGTAGGTCCCTTCCAACTGAAATAGTCTAGTCTATTCAAATTCTAGGGTTAGAAGTAGTAATGGTGGATCTAAACTGCACCGTAACTATCCAAGATATATTTGAGGCATTACTAAGAATGCAGAGCATGTGGGGTGGTAAGAATATTTCAGTTATTCCAGAAAATCACCTTTGGCTTTTACACAGGGACTGCAAAAAACCCACCAAAACTCACCAGTTCTGTTTCAAACAAAAATCACCTTCCTTCTTAAGACCTCACAAAAAAAATATACTTTCCTTATAGGTTAGAAAGGTAAGAAATAATCTTACCATGCAAAAAAAATGTGAGTTGTTTCAACACACAGTTCTTAGCCATTGGTAGAATGAGTTACTTTGGAACACTGATGCCACTTTTTGGGAAGCTGAATGTTATTTGTAGTGTACAAAATATTCTCTTGTCATATCACAAAATCAATACTGAAATATGCAGAGGTCTATCCAGCCTTTAAGCAAGGCAATTTTTTGTATGTAATTTCATTTATACGTCACACAATGGCGGCAACCAAACATCCTTCAAGTACTTGCCAGCATCCTTCCTACCTGTTATCAGGCTTTACAACCCATCACATGGCTCACGTATAAACAAATGCTTATCTTCTACACTCCAGATATAGACACATACTATTCTCCTTGTGACAGTAGAGAAAGCAGCAGTCCACTGCATTGTTTTCTCCCTACCAGCTTTTACTGGTTGTTTCATGTATCCCTGGAAACTTTCTCATATGCAGTTGTTCTATGTGCAAAAGTTGCTGAAACATTTGCTGTCCAGTGACATTATACTGTTGTTGGACAAAGTGTTTTTGGCCAGACCAGGAATCAGGCTGAAGAGCAAAATGCTCTCCATTTCCATTAAGGGCAAATATTCTTTTGAACTGAGATACTTCTAAAACCTTAGGAAGAGGTGGAACTTAGCTTTAGAGAAATAGAATTAGTGTTGGAAAACAACACTTCTACTTTCAAATGTCCAAGAAACTTTTCCTCCATCTTACAAATCCATGCCTGTATTAAGCATATGTACCTATCAATATTTCCATTATTAGCTCATATTGGCAGCAACCTCCTAACCTTTGTAATGGTGCATTAATGAGGGGAAAAAAAAAAGTCTGTAATCCTTCAGTTTTACCAGTAAAATTCTTTATGTGCCAGGGGAGTCTTTCTACAACTGCTTGTTAGCCATGCAGATGCTTCTTAGGTTATGTGTTAGAACAGTGATGTCCACATAAAAAAGCCTTTCCACCACAATCTACCCTAGTGTCACAGACAGTGAATATATGGATCACTAAATAAAATTTTCACTTCCAGATGAAATTATAGGATGGACCTCTGTATCAGTAATAGTCAACACTTACTCTTCCCCTGAAATTCAGTCATTTTTCCTTCCTGTACAACCAGAGTGATTACCAGATTAGAACTGATTTACAACAACTAGACAGGTATTGGACCAAACTACTCAAACTGCAGCAGTTCAGATTGCCCAAGACACAGCACAGTAATGAACCATCACAGATGATGCTGCCAGCATTTCAGAGCACCAGTTAAAAAAAACCCTTTAGCAACGAGTATAGATCTGCACTTTGGATTAATTTTACCTAAGAATCTATTGTAAATCAGGAACCTTACCTACAGCAAATTACAGCTTTGCCCCATCCCTTGCAGAGTTCAAGGCCAGGATGGATGGGGCTTGGAGCAACCTGGTCTAGCAAGATGTGTCCCTGCCCAGGACAGGGGGTTCGAACTAGACGGTCTTCAAAGCCCCTTTCAACCCAAACAATTCTATGATTCTATGATTACAGGCGAGTTGAATAAAACCATCAAACCCCATTATCCTCCTATGAAGAAATGCCCCACACACACACCAGTTCACAAAGTACATTGTTCTGTACGCACACAGCCCTTCTCCCGCGGTGCCGACAGGACAGACACTTAATGCGCTGGTCCTTTAGTGACCGTGCAAGCCATGAGAA